GGCTGCCGGCCAGTGGGGGACACTTTCTATCATCTCGTGAGAACCATTTCTGCGCTGGTAATCTCCATACCCAAGTGGTGTTGTGGCCAGAACCGCGGGCGATACTACACTCGTCTGAAAACTTCAAAATAGTATCACCACCCTAAGTGAAAAAACGCCACCTCCGCGCAAAAAATAAGCGTTTTTTGGCAATAATCCGGGTAATAAGTGGCCTGCGCTTCGCTCTAAACTTATGGTAATCCATTCGAGCAAGTGCTCGTCGAATTGTGGCGCGAGAGACGGTGGAGGTGCCGGAGTCAGAGTCCCATAGGTTGGCCTCGCGATACAGCGCGCGGTACTCGATCTTGGGATCTTTTTTTACGGCTCGAAGCAGCTGTCGGTGATCCCTACTAGTTAATTTGGGTGGGCGGCCCATCCGATCGTGCTTGGTGTAGGTTCCTTCGGTGTCCCATTGATGGATTATTTTGTTTACTGCGCGGCGCGTGCAGCTCAGACGCGTCGCGATTTCTGACGTGCTGCATCCACCCTCCGCTTGGGCCAAAATATATATCCTTTGGGCATCTGATAATTCACTACCTGGCATTCGATTACGCGAAATTTCTGCGCAAAAAGATCTCATTTAGATGGAGTTACATGGTGTTGAAGAAGAGACTAGTCTGAGGAAATTGGGATGGTGGGGTAGGCCCGTGCTCGGGGGAACAGACTTTTGAGACGTGACTGTACTAAGTCCTTAAAGGACGCAATCTTAGTAAATACTGCTGTAAAAAGCGTCTAATGTTAAAGCTCTAGCATGCTCGTCGACGCTATAGATTCTTATGTTAATACTGGAGCTTTCCTTAGCACTAGCGCACGGTTAAGTTCTTAGATGAGTGCTTAGTTTAGAAGGGATCTGGTGCTATATAGGAGTAGTGTTTTTGGTATCTAAAAGAGAAATAGAAGCGCAGGATAATTATGGAGGTTTTGCTCAGCCAGGGCCTATAGTAGATAGTGTGGGGGGCTATATAGGTGGATGAACGCGGCCGGGGGCGACGCAGTCCTCTTATGATTATAGAAAGGGATCTAGATGCTCCCTGTGGTGGGTACAGTGGCCAAAGTTATATCTAAACCCTTAAATAAGGTCTTCTACCTCACTGGCGGCCCTCGCAGATTTTTATGCATAATAACGCGCGTATACACACCTCCTGTAGAGTGCGCGAGTTCCTTACCTCCTATCAGATTACACCACTTAGCTGGCTAGCTTATTTACTAGACCTTAACCCTATTAAGCACCTCTGGTAGGTCCTTAAACGAAACATGGATCGCTTCTATCTATAATACTGCAATTATAGCAAAACCTAGGAATAGTAGGATAGTTTTTGTAAGGCACTAAAAGAGTGCTGGAGAAGGATACCTAGCAGCCAAATACAGGCACTGATTAAGTCAATGCCGCAACGCCTCCGCGCCTGCCGCGAGGCACGAGGCTGGCAAGCTAAATACTAGTATAGAAGAATTAATTCTATTTTTCAAATTTTAAAAGTATGCAGTTTTGGTGGAGGTATTGGTGATAGCAGCACGGGCGTCAACTTTTGATGATGGTGGGGTTTCGGTTAGCGAGGCCAGACTTTTGAATAAGTACTGTACCTTGAAGAATGGCCACCAACACAGGCGAGACGTAATGCCAAGCGCTTCCCAAGGGCAGGCACTGAAGAATATTATCTCGCATCTCAGGTCTAATCTCTTCTTTTCTTCGCAAACATTCATTACTACAATATTAGTAAGTTCATGCTTAATCACTGCACCTGTCCCGTGCCTGACCATAAACACTTGTTATTCCATCTTTCCCTGGGTAAATGGGAAGTGTTGGGTCTGTGGTGTGTTACTGGCCAGGAACGAACGATGACGCTCCTCATATCTCTCATGGATATCTCATCCCGTGGACACTTCCATTCTATGTACACTCCCTTCTCATGATACTTCCATACCAGAACCTGTTCGACCTGCAAATCTTGCAGAATGTCAAAGAGCCATGCGCCGGCGGTAGAGGTTAGGGCTGAGGTACCAGAGACTGAGACTGAAATTGCTTCACCTGCTAGCAGGCAAACAACCCCTTATAGACGCTCCATTATTATGGACGCTCCTCATATTTTGCTGGTACATAGGGCTACTAATAACACTTGGGCAGAAGCTACGATCCAGGCTAAAGAGTATAAGTTGGGAACTTTCGTGTACAGTAGATCATCATCCAATTCTATGAATTCTAGCTTATTGTGCCTCTCTTGCTGTGCTCTATCTTTTAACTTAGCGACTACGTGCACCGACGTGTGCAGGTGAAGGCGAAGGTATTCGTACTCCCCATGGTAGGACTCGTGGTGTTGCACTCCCTGCACCCATTCAATATCTCCCATAAACACTTTTTCTTATCGACATTCCCTCTTGTGGATATTTCTCACATCCATTGCTTTAACGGAAGATCCTTTGGATGGCTACATTGGGTTTCTTTGCAGTTCACACAAAGCATAAACAGCATTACCGTCAACAGTATCATCGTCAACATTGACACCAATCTGCAATGCTACAACGTTAGCATGGTTTGATGTTCAGATGTTTGGAGATTTATGCACGTCTGCATTTCGGTTTTACGTCTGCGCCCATTTATTTATATATGTATGATTGCTTAGTACCAATAGATACTTGTGTAGAACGGATGTGTTTCCTAAGTGATCACACGTCACTATGCTCAGTGACCACGCAGCAGTTGCGTACTTAGAATTACTTAGCAACTACATTAGTATGTAGAGATGCAGAAAAAGGCGAATATCTGTGGAGCTTCATGGACAATAGCTTGGAAAGTTTGTTCGGACCGCTTCCGCTGCTCAAAAACAGGGACGTCCAGTCCCTTGGTGACCGACCATGCGATATTTGACATGCCTGCGAGGGCATTGGTCGGGCACTATCGAACCATAGATGCCCTAGCCCTGAAGCGAAAATTTGCTGATAGATTGAAGCAAATTGAGCTATAGCAATTTGGTCATATCGAACCGGCCTTGGTCAACCGCGGATTTGCGCCAACTATGATCCGGTCATTATGGCCAATATGCAGAACGACTGTTGCGGTTTTTCCCTTTTAACTTCAACATCCCTGACACCTCTTTGTACACCTCTTCCGCACATTCTACACAGTCACATCCTCCCTGATTTATCTGATACTACTATTCAAAACCATCATGTCTCTGGCTTTGAACTCGTCCGGACAATAGGCCTTGTCTCGGTCCTGCGCGGCGCACCTGCTCTCTTCATAGGAGCATCGCGGCTTCATCGAACAACTCTTTTCCAGCAAAGCCTACGGGTCTTCCCAACATTCATCCAGAAAGAAGCGTCAAAAACGATGATTGCAGCGCCAAAAGCTGTGATCCCAGTGGTAGTGCCAAAAGCGGTGTCTCCAGTATTCGTATCAAAACTGATTGACCCCGAAACACAACGACATCGCATCAAGCGAATGGCTGCCCAGCGGATATACCAACAAAACTTAAGAAGACTGGCTTTAACAATGTATAATGCCGGTCCGCCCTTGTATCGCGGCCATGCCGGTAGTAACTACTACGACAATGATTCCGAAGATTCCGACAAGAGTAGTAACTTATATGTATGGGTTTTGCGCGCATGTTTCCACAGATTTTGGTCTGCGATTTTCGCTTTTTTTTATGGAGTTGTCTACGGCAGGTACGTACTACTACCCAGCAATATTCGAATTTGCGGATATGCGAAAAAAAGGTTCTTTTGGAGCTAACAATAAGAACGTGTTTAGGCGCCCATGGGAAGCTTGGGAGGAGGAGAGAGACTGGGATGAAAACGATGAGATTAAGGAGTTGGAAGGGGAAAATGACGAGTTTAGGGGGGAGATTTGGAGGCTGAGGAAGGAGAATAGCAAGTTGAAGGGGCAAAGTAGTAAGTTTGTTTCTTTTCTCTTTACCTTGAAGGAGGGAATGGCTATCTTAGGTGGTTTTGCTAATGAGATGGTTTAGAGGAGGAGTTTGAGGATGAAGAGTTTGATCGGCTTGTACATGGTTGAGGGGTATAGCGTTTGGGATGTTTGTATAGCAAGTAAAGACGCTTAGGAGTTGTGTATGCGAAGTTTCAGAGCATTTTTACATAGCAGATACTATGGCTACAGTTCTTCGCTTTCGTACATTGAAAAGAATACCTTGAGAAAGTAGTAGGAATGGTTAGTGTGGTTTTGATGTTCTTTTGATATCTTCTTTTCTAGAACAGTCGGAAGTCCCTCGGAGATTTGGGGTCTTTGCCTGGTGCTTACATACGAATTGGGATCACCACTCGAGCTCATTTCGTTACACAATGGTGATATTTAATGACTAAATGGACGCTAATGGCTTTCTCTCCTTTCCCTGCGTTATGGTTGATGAAGTACTACGTTTGACCCACAGATAGTCCTACTAAGTCATCTATCTCAACCACTAGAATGTAACTAAATACAATACACATTCCTCACGCTTTCAGACTTTTGTAAAGAAAAATTAGCTCGCTGCTTGGGCGTCCCACAGCGTATCGGAAATGAAATGTCAGACCTCGCGAACGATAATTTCATCTAGCGCTTATATACCAAGATGTGACTTGGTACCTGTTAGCAAAATGCAGACTAGTTTCTTATCCTTTCTCACTGGCCACTCGGCCCTCTTCTCCCTTTTGTTTTCTAGCAAAAGCCATAAGCACGTTGGTTTCCATCATTAAAGACTCCCGCACTCCTCCCTCCACCATCCAACAATAATTCTAGCGACATACAACTGAATCAACACAGCTATCGCCAGCCATAAATACAAAAAAGTCTATCAGCAACATGCGCCACTCAGTTTCCACCGCCATCCTTGCCACCATTATGGTGGGCGTCGGACTATGTAGTCCACAGGGACGAAATCCGTATGCCATTCTTCCCAGACCACGCCCACCGCCACAACAATACCAGTCGAAATGTATCAGTGGTTCATACATTTCTGTACGTTCTTGATAGTTTACTCAAATGGAAGATAATAGTCAGTAGGCGTAATAATTATGGTACCTGCTGCTGGGGTAAGGTCAATCAGGATCCTCATGATACGCTCAAATTCGACAGACAGTATGGATGCTGGGCGGCTGGAAATTGTGCGGATGATTGTTAGTAGGGTATTTACTTGGTTGAACTTGAACTTGTCGTGATGGATTGTTAAGATGTCACATGCTTGAGTGCAAGATTGGGCGGAAAGAATGATTAAGTCTATTGCTTATATCTACTAGCTGCCAGCTCTATTTTTTTGGTAAACTACTGCGATTGCACTCATTCAAAGATTGAGGTCATTGTTGGTGAGGGCATTAGCCGTGTTGTGACAATCGAGTATAGCAAAGGCACAGTCAGGCCAAGCTGCTTATCGATAAGAAATTGGCGCATCTCCAAAATTTCGGCGCGACATCTCCAAACCAAACCAATTTACCATCACCCAGCATGCCCAAACGAAAGCGCTCTTCACCCGCTCCCGCGATCGAGTCGGTTTCCAAATCAACACCCGCAAAATGCGCCAAAATCTGTGAGAAGCGTCTCGCTGATGCGCAAAAGCCTTTGCTTCAAGCACTGCGCCATGCCTCTATGCTCGAGCGCCAGAAGCACAGTCGCAGAAAGAAATACGCGGTGAACAAGAACGAGACCAAGACCATTCATCGCCTGAACTCTGAGTATGAAACGCTTAAAGCACTCAATTTGGAACAAGTGGGTGATCAACATTTGCGCAAGACGCTGGCAAGGGTCAAGAGCTTGAAGGATGCCGAGCCATTGCAGGAATACATTGCTGGGATACGAGAGGGAAACAAGGATGTGAATACGCTTAATGTCACGGCACGGCTTTTCAAGGTCAAGCAGGTGAAGAATGTGGTGGACCGTGTGGTTGAGGATCTGAAGGGCGTACTTGGAGTCGCCAAGGGCAAGGAAGATGCGAAGGAAGAAGTTGGCGGGAAGAAGGTGCAAGAGAAGAAGGCGCCGAAAGATGAGGATACTGCAAAGAAGGAGGATGTTGATATGAAGGACGCGAGCGACGAGGGAGATGATCCATACATGGCATTCAGCGCACGGATAGCAGAGCCTTCGTCTGGCGAAGACGATAGTGAAGCTTCTGTGACGGACGACGAGCGGCCTCCAAGTATCGTGGACAGCGACAGCGAACACGACCCTGATACTGATCTCGATGCTGACAGTGAGAGCGAAAGTGAAGAGTTGGGTGAGGTTGAGGAGGTCGATGGCGCGAACGGCGAATTGCTATCGAATGAGGACTCTGAGGATGAGGACTCCAGGTCCGACTCTGACTCCGACTCAGCCGCCATACCTACCAAAAATATCAAGGCCAAGGCCATCGAAGAGAAGCCAACATCCTCTGCGTTCATCCCCGCCCTCAGCCATGCCGCCTACTTCTCCGGCTCTGAATCAGAAGCCTCAGACCTTGACGTGGATGTCGCCCCACGGAAGAATCGCCGGGGTCAACGTGCCCGTCAAAAAATTGCAGAACTCAAATACGGACAAAAAGCAAAGCATCTCGAAAAGGCACAGCGCAGTGCCACCTTCGATCCTAAGCGCGGCGCAGTGAGCGGCACTGACAAGCGTCAAAGACGAGGAAAGCCACTGGGCGGTGGACCGCAGCAGAGTGGAGGTAATGCAGAGCCTTTGGGCGAGAGAAGCGATAAAAAGGATAGGAAGATTGGTGTTGGCGCGAAGAGGGATGACAAGGGCGAGCTGCATCCTTCCTGGCAGGCAGCCAAGATGGCTAAGGAGAGCAAGAAGCTCAAGATCGATCTTAGTGGGGCCAAGCCGGCGGGAAAGAAGGTTGTTTTCGATTGAGATACCCAGAGGAGCCCACGCAAAGTCTTCTTTATCGAGTGGTCATAGTTATTCTCGTACCTGGTACATGATCTATGTAGGATGTGAAGTTTCCTCATTGATGACAGCTTTTTCAATGGTACGATAATGATGGAAGTGGAATGTTTGACTTTCTCGAAGCCATTGTGTGGTCAATGTTCGATTCCTTATTGCCTGGAGCTAGGCCTGGCGATCTTGCTGAGCTTACAGCCGACTGATCACCTGCCGAAGCCCCGCTCGGTTACGGCTGTTCCCACCTATTCTAACCTGGGGAAATGTGCTTGTAGCGCAGGGTAGGTCATTACCGTCTGCTGGACAAGTGTTTCTTGCCACGTGCAAAGAAGTCTGCATCCTCAAACCCCAACAGTCAGGAGAAAGGCTCTCGTGGTCCCCCTTTTCTTGGTAAATGAGCCGCTCGAGCCGAAGAATGAAGACATTAGACTGATTGTGTTTAAACAAGCAATGACATGTTTCTTGTTGCCGACGATGTATCCGTTGTATCCGTCCGTTGGCCTGCGCATCGCGGTATTAATCTCATCCAGAGCGTGGCGCAGCACAATAGTATAGCATGGGCCAATAGCCCCTGAGCTGCGCCTCAAAAGTCTCGCCACGGTGGGGCCGAGGATCACAATCTGCTGGAAAAGGGAGCATCCGCTGCGCCAAGGAAAGCTTACAGAAGCTTGGTTCGGGACATCTTGCTATGCCAACTCAGAGATGCCATGTTGTCAACAACTCATTCGAGGAAAACATTAGGTCTTTGTTGTTTGATAAGTACCAGTCTTTACAACTACTGTCGCTGAATTTGACTTGGCATCACAGAGTTTGTTTCGGACCGCCAGCACAGTGGCTGCCCGGTCCAAACTCCGGGCGTAGCGACACCGCCTCACCGAGATTACGCCACGTTTCATGCTGAGGCTTGTACGCTGGGCCTATGGATCTTTTGAGGGGCAGACTAAGCTGCAGGTGCCATTACATCCGAGATCGGGTTGGGATGGATTAAATGCCGCGTTTCCTCCAAGTACTAATACTACCATGTCCACAGACACTTGACGTTTCTCGTTCAATTCACTCCAACCTACCCACACTTGCATTTGCACTCTCCTCCTCTTACCACACACACCCACATTCACACAATGGGTTTCCTTAGTGAATTGATGTCAGAATTCAAGGGCTCCAAGAGCGGCGGCAGCGAGCAGCAACAACAATCAGGATATTCCGGATATCCCCCACAAGAACAGTATGGTGGCTACCAGCAACAACAGGGTTACCCACCACAGCAACAGGGCTACTCGCCACCACAGCATTCTTCCGGACCACCACCAGTTTCCCCTCCATGGTACGCAGAGTGGGATGGACGGGAGAACCGCTGGATCTTTGTGAACCAGCAAAACGGTGAACGCACATACAACTACCCTGGCCCTGGCTTCGCACAACAGCAAGGCAGCTACGGTGCCCCACCACCACAAGGCGGATATGGCTATGGCCAGGGCGGCTACAGCAATCAGGGTGCATACAACCAGAGCGCATACGACCCTACACGTGGCTCTGAGCCAGAGGAGAAGAAGAGCGGAGGCAATGGCTGGAAGTACGCTGCAGCGGGTGCCGCTGGACTTGCAGGTGGAGCCCTACTAATGCACGAAAGCGATAAAATTGGTAAGAACTCCACTCTCTCCCCCTTTCCTATCACCGCACTTTGCCCAGATAAGAAAAATCCCAGCTAACACAATTCCCTCCAAACAGGCGAAACAATGGACGAAGCCAAAGAGGGTATCGAAAACGCCCCCGAAAACGTCGCGCACTGGACCGGCGAACAAGCCGGCCGCGTCGAGAACTTCGGCGACGACGTCGAACAGAAATGGGACGATGGCGTTCAGAACATTGAGGATTTCCCTGAAAACGCAGCCAGGTGGACGGGCGACAAGGTCCAGGCGATCGAGGATATCCCAGAGAATATCGAGAACAAGTGGGATAATATGGTTGATGGTGTGGAGGAGTTTGGGGATAACATGGGGGATGCGTATGATGAGGGAAAGGAGGAGCGGAGGTATGAGGATGATGATTATTAGATGGGAATGAAGGATTAAAGAAGTTATGGAAATGGGGTCATATACCATCAACACTATATTTCGACTATTTCTATGAATGACTTGATTGCATTTTTATTCATTATGAGAATTCACTGAGCGATTGAACTGCTGTTGACAGATTGGACTAGGAAAACAAATGGGAAAATGCGATGATGCTGTTGACGAGAAACCACATTTGTTTTAGTATCTAACATGTGATAAGGGTCCCTATGATGGCGCGTCCTTGTGATGTCCCTGCTACTACTGTCCATACGCCGCGATTTTAAACAAACAGTATACTTTTAGCAAAATTGTTACGAAAAGACCACTCAAGATAAAACTTGCTTTGGTATACTATCTTATTTTACATTTCTTGCTAACATTGAGAAAGATCGTCACAATCACGTTGGCTAACGTGTATATTTGCATGATGTTCACCATCGACTATTCCATTTTGACCGCGACTGTCATAGTTGCAGCAGCAACAGTGAAGCACTCCACCGTTTACAAATTCCATTCTAGTCGCCGATTTCCCTTAACAAGATCTCGCAACCTCTATCATCTTCGATAAATCCATCCAGCAACTCTCCTCGCACACCCATACACGCATACATCCTGAACACTAAAATACTAAACATACCTACATCTCCACCAAAACAGAATGGGTATCTTCAACTTCCTCAAATCACCCGTCCCTCTCCAAAAGAAACCCCCTTTTCTAACACATTCTGAACAGACGGCGACCCAAACTCCCCAAACCGTTACCTCTACCCCACCCCAAGCGCCACACAACCCTCCACCCGCAACATGCCCTAGGCTCGCAACTCTCGTAGAAACCCAACAATAACACAGCACGGAACCAACTACAACCACACCGCACTTCCGCAGTCCAATGCTATCAGAAGCAACGCCAGCGCCACGCCGTAGGGCTCTTCCACTCGAGGCAGAACAGCATCGAATACGCAGAGTAATTATGCGCAACAAAGTTCTAATCGTACAAGAATAGCAGTATCGAATGGAGATGCTGCCTCCATAGAAGGTACTAAACCGGTCAGGACACGCATATCGCAGCCCCGGAGTTACGCTGGCACAGTTGCTTGCAGAGCATATAGCCAGCGCCCTCCGTTCAGTCAGGGAATCCGGACCGCTACACCGACGCAGCGTGGACAATGCACAGTTACCAATCAGAATCGTGGTGAGGTCATTGTCAGGAATACAGCTTCCGGTGCGAGAGGAGCGACAGCGGTGAAAGGACGAGGGGCGGACGACGGACGGTCTGTTGTTCAGGCTTCTAATTCTGGCGGTGCTGGAGGGCAAGGAGGAGGAGGGGGGCCGTTTAGGGTGGTGCGGTATTCGTATGAGAGTGTGCAGGTTGGAGGACGGGGAGGGAGCAAGTGGAGTAGGTTTAGCATGTTTGGGTGGCGTGGAGTTTCTTAGGAGGTAAGGAATATTGATGGCGCTGGGAGGGGAGGATGGAGAAGATGGTACACGGAATTTTGTTGGTGAGTTTGGAAAGTGTATTTGAAGGCTTTCGCTCTAGCTCTGGAACGGAGTATATGTACAATGACTGTATAGATAGTATCATTTCTTGTGCGCCCTATTTCGTGATATCATCTATGCGCCCTATTCATTTCTCGTTTTGTACATTCAGTCACTACCCGTAGCGACGGTCTATTGCAGTACAAAAATGACAACTCATCTTGTTTAGAAAAAACTGTTCAAACCATCCTTACGCCTCAGTGCGACATGCAAGAAAATGTACACAACAATACCAAAGCCCAACATTCCCGAAATAACGCCAAAGCCCATGAGATATTTTGGTTTGTCATCAGCCGGGAAAAGGTATGCGCCGTAGATTTGCGCCAGATTTCCAAGCGCATTGACAAGCGCGATAGCAATAGCCCTGACTTCGGGCTCCATGGATCCAAATGTCGCGCTGGCGTACGATAGAGATACGGCGTTGGATGACCACAGACCGGCAGCCATGAGGACGAGGAGGGCGTAACGTGCCGTGAAGTCGTAGATCACACAGACCAGGATGGAGGTTATGAGCGAAAACGCGAGCCAGCACGCAATTACAAGACCACGGTGCATGGAAATAGAGTCGGCAAAGTATGTTGTTACTGCAGTGCAGACGAATGCGACGGCATAGATGGGAACAGTCATGTACTGTGCGGTGACGGTGTCTTTGTAGCCGAGGCCGTTGACCAGCGTGGGGTAGAAGTAGGAAAGAGTGGAAGAGCCGACAATGACCTTGAAGGTATTAGTCACATGGTTTTGATAGATACGACAGATTACTCACCATATAACCGAGGACAAATCCGATAGTTCTCCAGTCCATGATTGCGAGGCGGAAAGATTTGAGCTTGCCAATCCTTACATCACCACTTACGTATGTCTGGATACCACTTCCTCGGAGACGTGCAGTAGCAATGAGTCGCTCGCGATCAGTCAACCGCTTGGTATTCGCTGGAAAGTCCAAAAGGAGGAAAGAGGAGATTCCGGCCCAGACAATAGTTGCAGCTCCTTCAATGATGAATAGCCAACGCCAGCTACATTGAGATAGATTAGTATGTTTAAAGGACCGAAATCATAACATCTGCATTGAAAATCCACTTACCCGCGTAGACCACCAGTTCCCTCCATACCTCCAGTGATAGCACCAGCAAGGAGACCTCCAAAAGCGCCACTGAGAATGGCTGCTGACATGTACACACCAAATCGTTTCGACTGCTCGTCCTTCTTGTACCAGGACGAGATGATGAGGATGATACCGGGGGCAAATCCAGATTCAAATATACCAACGAATATACGAAGTACAACAAGATGCTTAAAGTCGTGGATAGCACCCATAACACAAGTCAAAGCACCCCATATGGCCATGATGACAGGAAGATATACGGAAGGCTTCAGTCGGACCAAGAGCATATTCGAAGGCGGTTCAAAGGCGACGTATGTAACAAAGAAGACAACTAGAGAAATTGAGTACTGGCTCGAAGTCAGACCTAGATCGTCGGCCATGCCTGCAATCTTTGCGTTGCCAATACTGGTACTTGATCAATCTTTGCAACTTCAATTCTTCGGGAGCAGCTTACTTTGTGCGGTCCATATAAGACAACAGATACATCAACCACATGGTTGGAAGCAGGAAAGAATCAATTTTCTTTACCAACTGCTTCTCTTCCTCAGGTGTCCAAGTGAAGTCCTCGGACACCTCAATCTGTTTTGTTGTATCCATATCTTTGATGTCGCCGGCTTCGAACGAATGGCGTGTTGACGACATGGTGTCTTGGCGTAAAAAAGCAAGTGTCTACACGAAAAACCCAAGCATGCGGTACGCTTTGCAGTGGATAGAAGGGTACCGTCGGTGACTTTCTAGAGACAGTCGCAAAGATATCCTTGTTGTTTTGTGACAGCTTGAAGCTTTATAGATCTTCTCTGCAAAGTCGTTTTGTTATCTTTTCAAGATTTGGTGACTGCCCAGAAATGCCTAGGTCGTATCGATCCCCAGAGTGGATCGACCCTTCTTCCCCTACCCCAGGTCTTAGTACATTAGCCGAAATTACCCAATGCGGTCCAGCTAGGCTGATGCAGTGATGGCAACGATTGGCCACCGCTATCCGCAGAACTGCATGCACAAAAGTACGCCTCGATGCGAGCGTGTGTCAATAAGCGAGAGCTCGCTGACGAGGACCAAATCAGCGACTGCCGGCTGGGTGTACATGCATTCGCCACGAACTCGTTCTGGCGTTGGTTCACTGTCGGGTAGATTTCCGGTACGGTGACAATACGCGTCGCTCTTTTCCAAGGATCCTCGGTAGCGAAGTAGAAGATTGTTTTGCCACGAGCTGGTGTGGGGTTAAGGAAATGTGGTGTACTTAAACATGCGGGGAGCCTGTGAAGTAGGCGTCCAGCCATCCAGTAGTTTAAGTATCTCAGCCCCCTCGCTGTACCTGCCATATATCATTAGACTTCCTCAAGCAGCTTATTTTTAACCGCATTCCACTTATGTCTCCTGCAATCATGCCGCAGGCAGACCAGACAGCGCCTGCCAATGGTCACGTCAATGGCACTCAAGTCGAACAGAGCGTGCCAAATCCCGTCTACTTGACCACTGAGCCAAAGGAGGATTTTGACTGGAAAATCACCCTCAGGGGCAAAGTGATCGCCATCACTGGCGCAAACAGAGGTTGGTCGACCCCTCTCCGACGCTCGGGAACGACACTAATGGGTACTTACAGGCATCGGTCTGGGACTTGCAACGGTATGCCTTGCAAACGACGCTGCAGAGATATATTCGCTCGACCTCTTTGAACCGGGCGAGGATTTCCAGGCGCTTCAAAAGGCGAACCCCAAGCGTGTGCACTACCTGCACTGCGATGTCACGTCCGAGGAAAGCGTCAACAAGGCGGTTGACCAGATTGTAGCTGAGTCGGGCCGCATAGATGGCATGATTGCCAACGCGGGAATGACCAAGCATCAGCCAGCGCTGAACTTTGACCGCCCTCAGCTAGAGCAGCTATTCAACCTCAACGTGTTCGGCGCTTATTTTTGCGCGACGGCAGCAGCGAAGAAGTTCATTGAGCTGGGAATAAAGGGGTCGATTGTCTTCACTGCATCCATGACTTCGTACCGGCCGAACAGGGCAGCACCGTCGGCGCCATATGGAGGGACCAAGGGCGCTGTTCGCAACATGGCGCACACGCTAGCCATGGAGTGGGCGAAGCATGGGATTCGTGTCAATTCCATTTCGCCCGGTTTCGTGCGAACGCAGATGACGTACTATGTTGAGAAGGCGCCTGACTGGAATCTGAAGATGCAATATTATGGCGGCATGCCGAGACTGGCTGATCCTCGCGAACTTGGCGGAGCCTACGTATATCTGCTCTCCGACGGGGCCAGTTATACCACCGGCATTGACATCCCCGTGGCAGGCATTGTCGGGGCATGGTAATAGAGGTGACTGTGGCTGTTCATTTGTACGCGTTTCGTTTGTTTCATGATAATACTGCATTGGGTGGAGTCTGTGTGATAGATGACCGGCCTTTCGGCTGTGACGATGAATGAATTTCCATTGCGTTTTAAAAAGAGAATATGTATGTTGGGGTGTGTGTGTGTGTGTGTGCACAGGTGATATTGGGGTTGGTGGAGAAGTGAGGGTTGGAGTTGGAGTGAGGGCATCATCCATTGCACGGAAGGAGCTCCCGCGACAGACGGCAGGCGAGACAGAGACAAATGAGTCAGCCTCCTGCGGGTATCCATGTCGCTCCCGTGGTGCCTTGGGCTTACCCCCAGGATTATTATTATTTCTTTAGTTTCCTGAGAATATTATTTGCGTGTCCTGGATACCGTCTGAACCGAAGCAATTGCACCGCTCAGGCAACGCGCCCAATGTATTTATTAGGCATCCCTACTTGAGCCGGACGGGGATAGTGCTCAGGACTGGCGCGGGGTCTGTCGCCTCCCAAGTCGCATGCATTCTGCACCATTGCCGCCCCTTCAGATCCCCACAGTACTGCTGCTGCTGCCGCTGCCGCCGCCATTTTCTGTGAGAAGTAATCCTTTCCAGCACTATCCGCCAGAAGCCTATCCGGTCTGGCGTAGCTGCTGGTATTGTCTCCAACTCTTGTTTCCCCACGCGATCAGGTCCGGGTCCTAAGCGAAGACACAAGGACCTCGACGCGAAGTCTTACCAGCATGCACGACATTGTTCGTGATGCCAGCATCCTCTACAGGCCCTCCTAAGCCTCGAAAACCCCGCCCTTCAAGAGCGCGAGTAAGTCCACGCACACCCACCTTTTGTGCCATTTTCACTGACCCGACATTTTCCGCCCTCAACAGGGTCTGCGGACAACAACCGGTTGGTAAGCTCACCATGGCATCGCTCCAACGCGTCACCAAGACCCGCTGGACGATCAAGCCTGCCGCATCAAAACTTCTGCTAACCCGCCTAGTCTTACGTGTAGACGGAGAAGGGTCAAATGTGACGAACTCAGGCCTCGGTGTGCAACATGCACCAAGTCAGACCGAGAATGCGTCTACTCATCCTCAAAGGATGTGTTGGCAGACACAGCAAGCACCGTCTCAGGCTCTGTGCACTCCACCTCGCCTGCACATGAAGATGCCTCTTCGTCTGCTGCCTTTTCACCTGCCTCCACAGCCTTTTCACCGGGCTCAGCAGCCTCTGCTCGAAGACCCCTTCCTCGAGAAATCGATCCCCAGGTCTGGCAAGCCTCGCCTGAACTCTTGTTTGAGTCTCCTTCAACTGTCATCAATTCTCTGCCATCGCCCAACTCGGCCCCACTAGCTTATTACGACTTGCTTGCCGAAGATGCCATGAACAATATTGACAAGTACAATTTGAATCTCGACCTGGAGAGGACCGCCTTGTCGCGGGCTCAGAGCCCTGAAGCAGGAACGCCGAATGTAGATCCTCAGCTAGGCCAACAGGAGCAAACGGCCGAATCCGACTCTCAGATGCAAGAGCAATGGAACTCTACCGACGTTATACCCATCACAAACGATGAGCTTGTTCTCTTCAGGCACTACGTCAGCGTCATTGGTCCCATTTTGGATTTGAGTGACCCTTCCAAGCAATTTACCACAGTTGTACCCGCCCTAGCCGTTCACAACGTGGGTTTGCTAAAGTCCCTGCTTGCTGTAGCCGCGCGTCACATGGCGCTCTGGAGCGAACCGCAACTTCACCAACTCAGCCTCCAAGACCCTGCACCGAACCCCGAAAGCACCAGTGCCAACTTACGAAACCCATTGCTTCAAGTCGCAACACAGTATTACTACGAAACGCTGCATTATCTCTCCAAGAACCTCTTCTACCCTTCATACTCGAAATCGAGGGAAATCATCTCAACCTCCATCCTTATCAGCACATATGAGATGTGGGACTCTGAGGGCCAATACAGCAATGGTGCATGGGAAAGGCATCTTCGTGGCATATTTTGGATTCAAAGGAGCCAAAACAACAATGGAGAATGTAGAGATCCGCTGCGAAGGGCTGCTTGGTGGCAGTGGCTACGTCAAGATTCGTGGGTTGCTTTTCGTGAAGGGCGACGAGTTCTGACTATATGGAGACCTACCAAACGTTTGATGGATTTGAACCCCGACGAGCTAGCCCTGCGTATCGTGTACATTTGCGGAAGGTGTATAGACTTTGCTGCGACGGAGAAAAAGTATGACATAAGCACGCGCATTGAGCAAGCCGGAAAGCTCCTCCAAGCGCTTGAAGATTGGCATAAAGCGCTTCCTTCTTCGTTCCAACCCATCTATCGAGGGCCCCCACTTAGGCCAGGTGAATCATTCATACCCATCTGGATTCACCCTCCTTCGTTTGCGGCTGCCATTCAGAGCTTTCACATTGGGCGGATCCTGGTTCTCATCAACCAGCCATCAATAGGAGGTATCGATGAGTTTCGAGTTCGACAACGAGCCTTGGATGAAAGTGTCGAAACGATATGCGGTATTGCGTCGTCACATCAATCAAAAGATATGCCCAGTGCCATGACCAACATCCAGGCTGTTTACACCGGTAAGCATGTAACCATTATATACGCCATTTAAAATTATGCTTACAACGGTTAGCTGGTCTATGCGTACAGGACCCAGTCAAGCAGACGGCGATCATGCATGTTTTGGAGCAGAATCTTGACATTACAAGATTCCCGCCAAAAACATTACTCGCGGACCTTGCCAATTACTGGAGTGCTGAATCATGATTAAAACTGTAGTACTCAAGTCCCACCCCACCCCACAACCGTGTACATATGCCGACATGCATGCTTGGCACGTTTGCCGCAGTGCTCCACCCGTATGACTAGAGGAGGCTTCACTACGCAGCTAAAATCAGTCTTGAATTGAACCGTTCCGTTAGCACAATCTTATGTTAGCGTGGCTAGGTACTGAAGCCAGGAACGAGTATAAGCAACGCCTAGGAACTACGGGACGCTTTGAGCGTACCGGGATGGATATCGTGGGGTACTGGAATCGTTTCCGCTCTCCACAAGATCCATCGCGGGGTCGGACATGTGAGGCTCAATAGGACGGGGTAAAAGCGGGGGTGCAGGTTGCTGAGAGTGGGCCTTCCCAATGGTCTGCATATTTGCGCCTCGTGTCGAGGTACAGCCGCGGCACATCTGTTTCCGCTCTTGCAGCGGGTACCAACTTTCCCTCACGCTCTGCCCCAGCCATTTCATACATGCAGCATGAGGAAGATTGAGGCTGCTCGTTTCGCGCTCCAATCAGCGACCCAGCATCTCCGTGTCTGATCCGACATTTGGTCCGCTATCATGTCATCATGTAAAGTTTCAGTTCCGAGCCCTCTCGGAATCGTGAATCACAAGCACCAAGTCACCATACGTTCTTGCGATCAACTTGTCCACACTGTTGTTGACTCCCCTGCTCTCATATAAACATATCCAACTTGGTCATCATGACTGTCAGCAAAGAAAACCGTACACTGGCCATCCTTAATGCCGCCGAGGCAGGCAACTACGGCGTCATGGCCGCCATTGCGTAAGACAGCATGTGCGGATACCTTGCGAGAAACTAAGGAATTTCAGATACAATTTGGAACAGTTGACTGCACTGGTGCGCGCAGCCGAAGCCAAACGATCTCCTCTCATAATTCAACTTTTCCCATCGACACTCAAGCAACTACCTTGGCTCGCTCACGCTGCCGCACATGCCGTCAAAACAGCCACAGTACCACTTTCTCTCCACATTGATCACGCGCAAGATGTCGGGCACATTCAGAACATTATTGAAACTCTGCCTGTAGACTCTGTCATGGTGGATATGTCGCATTATGACGAGGCTGAGAACCTGGAAAAGACCAGGATACTCACCAAGGCGTGTCACGACAAGGGGATTGCTGTTGAAGCTGAGAGTGGAAGAATCGAAGGCGGCGAGGATGGCATTGCTGATACAGGGGATCTTCAGGGTGAGAATCTCTGCATTCCGAAGTCTCAATCAGACGCTAAACTTCAACAGCCCTCTTCACATCCCCCGAAGACGTCGATAACTTTATTAACGCCGGTATCGACATCCTAGCCCCTTCCATTGGTAACATACACGGCGATTACGGTCCCGCTGGTCCTAAAGAAGGCCAATTGCACTACGATCGCCTAGAATCAATCAACAAACAGGTCAACAAGCGCGTACGCATCGCCCTACACGGAACCAACGATTTTCCCCCCGAGGTCATGCAGCGCTGCATACGATCCGGCGCCATCAAGCTCAACGTAAACAAACTATTACTCGAAGCCGGTAACGAGGTTCTGCGGAAGAATGCATCGACAACCTTGCTGGCAAAGTTGATCGATATGCAAATGGAGGCGATACAGAAGGAGACGGAGAGGTGGATGGATATTTGTGGAAGTAGTGGGAAAGCTTAGAGGATGTAGATGTTGGGTCGGGGTAGGATGGAGAATACGTACCCTATATTATCATGTTCATCCAGCCACTTGGGGTGTTTGAATGAATAAGAATAGAAATTAATCATCAATTCAATATCTAGAATTGCACAATGATTGCCTTTTTTTCCTGACAGCTCCATCCCTGTACCAACTAGCCCTCGTATACGTTGAAAAAAAACCCCACTAAGAATCCAGGACATCTCTCGTTTATTGTATTGCGGTCCGTTTCTCACCTTAGCCACCCCCCAAAACATGTCTACAGACTACAAAAAAATTGTTTATCCCACAGCTTTAGGTAACTAGTTCTTTCTTGGCTTGATACCAAAAATGATGTTCACAACAGCAAAAAAACTTGGAATATAACTCAGAAAGGTCAGGTCTTGCCCGGAATCGAACCGGGGTTGCCGGAAATCGTCTGATATCAGGATCAGAATCCGGAGTGATAACCGCTACACTACAAAACCGATGCTGATTTTTAACGTTACAAAATAAATATAATATGATAAAAAATGGAGAGCATGCATATGAGGAGAAAGACGATGCTCAGAGTGGAGAGAATTGTATGTTTGTGCTTGGATAGATTTTAGGCTTAGGAGAGTGGGGCTTGGTGGGGTGAGGGGTAGTTTTGAAGAAAAAAAAAATAGGATGGTGGGTGTGGGTGGTTTGGGACACATGCGTAGTAATTGTATCTTTCGGAACAGAAAAAACGATGAACAGAAAAGAAGACAAGGGTTGGTTAAGGAGTGGGAGTTGGATAAGTGAAAGTATGTGTGCTGCAAGAATCCAATACCCAATGCCTCAGATTGAAGAAAGAGCTTATGTTTTAAGGATGCTGGTTGTATTTATTCGCACAAACGACTATGTACAACATTAAACTCTTCGTCTAGAATCAGGGACTGGAAATATCTAAACATTGTTTCACGCACAGCAAAAAGTCGATGAGTATCATATTCTATCTTCATGCACCCTCAACAAACCAACTACACACCCACCCTACCGCAACTCCTTACGAAAAGGAAGGCTGCAACTTCCCCGCCACCCTCTCCAACACCCTCTCAGGCAATAAACTCTCATACACATGTCCCACCCACTCACAGCACACGCGCCGCGTAAACGCCGGATCAATAATCTCCTCAATCCCAAACGCATTCGCCGTGCGCACTGGATTCATCAACCGCTTGTACTCCGCTTCCAACTCTTTATACCGCGTCTCCCGTGCCTCCTTGCCTTGCGTCCGCTCGACCTCCTTGAGCTCAAACGAGTGTCCGACTTCAATCCCGCCTTCCAGCGGCAACGAACCCCAGGTTCCAGACGGCCATGCAACGCGCATGCGCGGGTCCCGGCAATCTAGCATCACGCCGCCAGCAACGCCGTACACGCGGCGCACGATAACGTTGAAGATGGGCATCGTGGTGCTGTAATACGTCTGGGCGAGCGTGATTCCATGGCGCATTGTGGCGTTGCGTTCTGCGACGGTACCGATGGCGTAGCCGGGTATATCGACAAATTGGAGGAGTGGGATGTTGAAGACGTCGAGGAACTTTAGCATTCGAGTTATTTTTTGGGAGCCGAGTGCGTCGAGGGCGCCGGCGTTGACTTCGCAGTTTAGGGAGACGATGCCGATGGGTTTGCCGGAGAGGCGGGCGAGGCCCACGATGGCGGTTGTGCCCCAGAGGGCGCCGATTTCGAAGAAGGAGTTTTGGTCGACGACTTCGGTGATGATGGCGCGGGGGTTGTACATTCGGTTTTTGGCTCGTGGGATGATTGAGCGGAGGGTTTCTGATGTGCGGTCGATTGAGTCGGTGCAGTCGATTGTTGGGGGGAGTTTGGTGCCGCAGTCCGGAAGGTAGCTGAGGACTGTTCTGATTTGTTCGAAACAGCCTGCTTCATCTGGTGCTAGGTTGTCGATCGTGCCGTTTGTACAATGGACGGCGGGACCTCCAAGGTCTGTCACTGACAGATCCTCTTCGAATGTAGCGTTCTTGACGACGTTTGGTCCTGCATTGAATAGTGATCCAATATCTCCAGCCATGACGGAGAAGTGGCAAGCAACTACACGTGCGGCTCCTAATCCAATGGCCGGACCCAAAACTGCACCCAGGTTTGGTATGCCAGAATTGAGTTGGCTGACGACGTGTTCGAAAGCCGGCAGTGGTGGAATGTAAGAGTAACCCCAGGAGCGAATCGTAGTGACAGAGCCTCCACCAGAAGAGCCATCTACAAGCTTCACAATCGGCAGTTTAAGTGAAAGAGAAAGCTTCTCCATATACAACTACATCTATGAGCATGCGTGCAAATTGATAGATGATTCAAACGTACCGTCTTCTCCATCAACGACCCATCAGCATGCCCAGCACGTATCGAAAAGTCATCAGCCGTAAAAACGATTTTTCTTCCTCTTAACTTGCCAAAACCTGCAATCCATCAGCATCTCCCGCTCACAAAAACCCCATAAAACATACCTTGCACGTTGTTCGAAGGTACGTATTCCTCCGGCTCTTCCTTCGACGGTCCCAACTGCTTCCATTTCACAGTCCCACTAACACTACCAACTTCCTGAAAACTCCCTTCATCAAGCAACTGCTGGACTCGTTCGCGCACCCATAGTTTGCCTGCCTGCTTCTGGCGCAGGTAGCCTCGATTGCTGGTATCAGGAGTCGCAGCGCTCTTGCGGAGCGTCGCAATCTGACCAAGGATATCCGAGTAATCAGCTGGTAAATCTGAATCAGCAGCCTTTCTCCGCCGTCGCTTCGGCGTGTTGGGCGCAATGTGCGAGCTGACCTGCTCAAGCCTAGCTTTCGCAGAGTCGGATGGCGTTGACGCGTCTGTGGGTGGGGGCTTCTTCTGTTCGTCGCCAGCCATTGTGCTGAAGATGGGTGATTAGACACAATTGCTCTACTACAAAGCAGACTTCTTGCGAGGAGACCCTGTTAAGAAAGTCATATTGCAAGGAGTTGACCCGATACACAGGTGGTGCGGTGCAAGGCTGGGGTAACGCCGGGGAACCGAGGTATGTTTTCCGCATGCAGACTAGTCAACGGCAATGCCGAAGTCGTTCGACCCCGATCGTCGTCGAATTTATGGGTCTGAATAGTGCGGATGCTACGTATCGTTCGATAGATATAGACAGGGCCAATATCTGAAACGAGCCAGATTCCTCTCCGTTTGTACTTTGGAATCGACGTTGCCTCCTCTATTGTGACTGACCCATACCAGAGTCACTTCCTGCACGCGCCGACCAGTGATTTCCGTTACTTTGGATAGACAAGCTGTTTAGTGTTTACTGGATTTTCAACCAAAAGAGATGGATCGCCCACCGCAACGACCAATCAAGCGTCTTTTGATTGCCAATCGAGGAGAAATAGCAACTCGCATCATCTCCACAGCCCGAGAACTCGACATTGAAACATACGCCATCTACACTTCTGGCGATGAAACGCATGCTGTACGAGCGGCCCATGCGATTCAGCTTGAGTCTGCAGCAACGTTTATGAGCATTGATGAACTCATTGAAATCATCAAACAGCACCAGATTGATGCGGTGCACCCTGGATATGGTTTTCTTTCAGAGTCGGAAGACTTCTGCAAAAGAGTATGGGATGAAGCAGGTGCAGTAGTTGTTGGTCCTGGGTGGGGTATCCTGAGTAACACTGGGGATAAGCTTAAAGCAAGACAGCTTGCTGAAGCGTGTACGTGACATGTAAGATCCATTATCATTTAGTCAGACTAATTTCTGCACAGGTAACGTCCCGATATCCCCAGCACTTGAGAAACCCACCAACAAAGTCGAAGATGTCCAGCAGTTTGCTGCAAAAGTCGGTTATCCTATAATGGTGAAGGCCGTAGATGGAGGCGGTGGTCGTGGTATCAGATTGATTCGAAATAAAGAGGAACTCGCTTCTTCGGTGAAACGAGCAGTCGAAGAGAGTCCATCAAAGAGTGTCTTCGCTGAAAAAGCAGCAGTGGACGGCTTCCGCCACGTCGAAGTCCAAATCATCGGCGACGGCACAGGCAATGTAACACACCTTTGGGAGCGCGAATGCAGCATTCAACGTCGCTATCAAAAAGTCATCGAATTCGCCCCCAGCCTCGTCCCCAACCGCTCTCCCATCGCAAAAATAATCGAAGCCGCCCTGAAAATGGCTCGACACGTCGGTACCCCAAATCCATCAACCCAACAATACCCAAGACTAACATTTTGCAAAGATATCCTACTTCTCCCTCGGCACTTTCGAATTCCTGGTCCACCCCACCACGCAACTCTACTACTTCCTCGAAGTAAACCCGCGCCTCCAAGTCGAACACACAATCACTGAAGCCCTCTCAACCACCGACATCGTAAAGTCCCAACTCCTCCTCTCCCAAGGCGCCTCTCTCTCCTCCTGCGGCTTACCCCTGACCCCCCGCTCCCCCTCCACGCCCCCTACAGCGCACTCAATCCAACTGCGCATCACAGCCGAGAACACACAATCAAACTGGTCTCTCTCCATCGGCAAGATCTCCTCGTTCAACTTTCCCGTTGGAAACGGTATAAGAATCGATACGCACCTGCTCCCCCACCGTCCCAGCATCGTAAGCAGCGACTTCGACAGCCTGATAGCTAAAGTCGTTGTCACGGCGTCGTCGTGGGCGGATGCGGTGAACAAAGCGCGGAGAGCGCTAGATGAGACGTTTATTGCGGGTGTAAAGACGAATATCGATATGCTCAAGGCGATAGTGGCACACCCGGATTTTCTAGCGGGAAAATGCGATACGCAATGGTTGGAGGGGCGGCAAGAGGAATTGTTGCAGCAGAGTCAAGACTTTGCTTCCAATGTGCAGGGGAATGGACTTGGTGTGGGAACTACGGCGGCGGGGGCGGTAACTGGGGCTGTTGCTACGCCGAATACGCTGTTTAGGAAGGGAGATGCGTGGGCGCTTGGGTTAGTGTCCAAGGAGAAGAAAGATGCAGTGCAGAGTCATTTGGAAATCACGCGTGTGCTAAGGAACGATTTCCCGGCTTCGCTGACGGCGGATATATTGTTTACTACGGCGGGGGCGGAGGGACCGAAGTCAG